ACAGGCTCTAGGCGTGCGAGCTTCAGGAGTGGCGGCTCTTGGGCTTTAAGAGGAGTAGGTTCAGTGGTTGTGGCTCAAAGGCTTAGTTGCTCTGCGGCGTGTGGGATCCTCCCAGACCAGGGATCGAACCCATGTCTCCTGAGCTGGCAGGTGGATTCTTATCCACGGCATCACCAGGGAAGCCCCCAACAGTGCATTTTTAAATCTGCTTATATTATGCTGAGTATAACATAATTTCAAATCTCAGGAAGTCAGAGGCTGCAGATTCCAGTCTGGTGGTTCAGGGATGATGGAAGAGGAAGGAAATGGGGGCTGCTGTCCAAACAGCACACACTGTGGGAGGCCCTTTCTAGCACTTTCAAGGCTCTGTTCTTTTCTTCCCATTTTCTTTGCCCTGGACTTGAAAAAAAATATTTTGGCTATCTTAGTACCCAGACCAGGGACTGAACTTGTGCCTAACCACTGGACCGCCAGGGAATTTCTACCCTGGATGTAATAATTTTGTGATTTTGATGGACATTTAATAACATTAAAATATTCATAAGTGAGAAAAATGTTTTGTAAAATAATATCCTAAGTTTGTTATAAGTGAATAAATGTACGTGGGTCTGTATATACATTTTGTTGTGGATCACAAAAAAACTGTGGAAAATTCTTCAAGACATGGGAATACCAGACCACCTGACATGCCTCCTGAGAAATCTGTATGCAGGTCAAGAAGCAACAGTTAGAACTGGACATGGAACAACAGCCTGGTTCCAAATGAATAGGGAAAGGAGGATGTCAGGAGTATATTGTCACCCTGCTTATCTTATATGCAGAGTACATCACGCGAAATGCCGGGCTGGACGAAGCACAAGCTGGAATCAAGATTGCTGGGAGAAATATCAATAACCTCAGATACGTAGATGACACCACCCTTATGGCAGAAAGCAAAGAAAAATTAAAGAGCCTCTTGATGAAAGTGAAAGAGGAGAGTGAAAAAGCTGGCTTAAAACTCAGCGTTAAAAAAACCAGGATCATGGCATCCGGTTCCATCACTTCATGGCAAATAGATGGGGAAACAATGGAAACAGTGAGAAAATTTATTTTTGGAGGGCCCCAAAATCACTGCAGATTCTGACTGCAGCCATGAAATTAAAAGACGCTTGCTCCTTGGAAAAAAAGCTATGACCAACCTAGACAGCATATTAAAAAGGAGAGACATTACTTTGCAAACAAAGGTCAGCCTAGTCAAAGCTATGGTTTTTCCAGTAGTCATGTATGGATGTGAGAGTTGGGCTATAAAGAAAGCTGAGCACAGAAGAATTGATGCTTTGAACTGTGGTGTTGGAGAAGACTCTTGAGTCCCTTGGATTGCAAGGAGATCAAACCAGTCCATCCTAAAGGAAATCAATCGTGAATATTCATTGGAAGGACTGATGCTGAAGCTGAAGCTCCAATACTTAGGCCACCTGATGCAAAGAACTGACTCATTGGAAAAGACCCTGATGCTGGGAAAGATTGAAGGTGGGAGGAGAAGGGGATGATAGAGAATGAGATGGTTGGATGGCGTCACAGATTCGATGGACATGAGTCTGAGCAAGCTCTGAGAGTTGGTGATGGACAGGGAAGCCTGGCGTGCTGCAGTCCATGGGGTTGCAAAGAATTGAACACTAGTGACTGAACTGAACTGAACTGAACTGGGAGAAAATGCAACAAGTTGTTAATGGTGAGTTTTGCTAGATGATTTTACTTCTTCATATTTTTCTGTATTTTCCAAATTTTCACAGTAAATACATATTACTTGAGTGATTAGGAAAAATAATATATAATAGAAATAATAACTGCATATTATCTCACTGCATCTATGAAACTCCATTCTTTACACCTTCACAGCCTAAGTCAAAGGTTTATTATTAAGAAGGACAGAAATAGAGATGCAGGGACTGCCCTGGTGTTCCAGTGTTTAGGACTCTGCACTTCCACTGCACGGGGCACTGGTTCTATCCCTGGTTGGGAAAAAAGATCCCCGTGCTGCTGAGTCACGGGATGGATGACTCAGCACCCCAGCCCCCAAATAAGGAGAGCTGCAAATACATCTCGGATTGAGTGTCAACTCCCATTCACAGTGGTGGCAGCCTGGAGCATTACTTGCAAAAGGATTCTGAAGCTGTCTTCCCTCACCCCCCTGCCCCCACAGGAGACAGAACTGGGATCACAGAGCAGGATCTAGCATGGATGAGGGCTGATGGAGGCCTGCATGAGTCTACGGTTATTTATCTTCCCTGAAACAGACACCAGGCTAGACAGAGACTTCGGGGTTACCAATGACGCCCGAATTAACCAATGAGGAAACTGAGGCTCAGAGACATGAAGCAACTCCTCGGGGTTCTAAACACAGAGCTGGGATTAGACCTCAGGAAGGAGACTGGCCTTGGGTCTCCACTCTGCTTTCAGCTAATTCATTCAAGTTCACGTGTGCCTCTCCATCAAAGTGACGGAGCAGGAGTTCAGCCGCTGTGGCCTCTGAGAACTTCGTGAGGTCGGTCAACTTCATCCCTGCTGCCAAAGACACCTGGTCCCCCCAGCTCTGCTCTTAGGTTCTTCATTTTCATACGGAGAAAATGGACTAAGACAAAGTCGAAGCATTGGATGTAGTGACAAAGTTTTCCCATTAGGTGGCGGTACCAGCAAGGAATAGATAAAGCAGGTCTCTGACGGGCACTTGCCAAATGGTTTACTTATTAAGATTCTGCCCTTCCAGTGCAGAGGCTGTGGGTTCAATCCCTATTTGGGGAACAAAGATATCTGTGGTATGACCAAGGTTTTGCTTTTTTGTTTTGTTTTTGTAAATCTTTTGTAGAGTATTTTGAAGATATATTTGTATCAAAGCACTTTAAATTTTACAAAGTAGATAACTTTGTAGATAAATTTACAAAGTAGATTAGAAGGAAATATTAAAAGTTAATGTCAATAAAAGGGTGGTATTTTAAGTTATTTCCGTTTTCACTATTTGCATCTTCTGTAATGAACAAAATAGTTTCATAAAGAAGTTACTGACATAGTGAGAGATTATTTTGGTAATATTTTGTCTGTGCAGTTTGGCCTCTTGTCTGATTGAGAGAAGATAATGGACCAGCGTGGAAGAGAAAGGAGACAGGCAGGCCCTTGATACTGTTTCTTATTTAAATATGAAGGGTGTGCTCACAGGGGGTCTGATGATCAAGGTGCTGGGTGCTTTCTGTCTTTCCATCAGTCACCAGGTCTTTGGGAAGGTTATAAAGGAAACAGCTGGGAAAGCTGATATGTGGGGGCTGTTTGGCACTCAGGCGACAGGAGCCCTGCCAGGAGTGTGATCCCCACTGTGCTGCCAGCATCACCAGCCTTTGGCCCTCAGGAGCAGAACCTAGCCCACCCAGCACCTTCAAGTCCATATCCTGGCCCACCTGGTAAAATGATAGTGGGATCTGTCTCACACAAAGGCCTTTGCTGTGGGCTTTCCAGGTGGTGGTAGTGGTAAAGAACCCGCATACCAATGCAGGAGAAGTTAGAGACGCTGGTTCGATCCCTGGGGCAGGAAGATCCCCTGGAGGGCATGGCAACCCAGTATTCTTGCCTGGAGAATCCCAAGGACAGAGGAGCCTGGTGGGCTACAGTCCATGGGGTCACAAAGAGTCGGACACCACTGAAGTGACTTAGCATGCACATGCGCAGAGGCCTTTGCTACTTTCTTTTTTCTCCATGCAACCTACCCTGGTCAGTTGTGGTGTTAACCCTGCCCTCAGTTTGAAGCTCAGTCCTTGGTTTGTCCCTTTCTGAGCTTCCTGGTGGCTTGGTGGTATATAATCCACCTGCCAATGCAGGAGACACAGGTGTGATCCCTGGGCTTGGAAGATCCCCTGGAGAAGGAAATGACAACCCACTCCAATATTCTTGCCTCGGAAATCCCGTGGACAAAAGAGCATGGCAGGCTACAGTCCATGGGGTCGCAAAAGAATCAGACATGACTTAGCAATGAAACAACAACAGATATTGGTAAAATGTATGCAGAGTTTGAGATCTGAAAGACATTCACAAAAGCATATAGAAGTATGATCATCTATATTTCTCTCTCCTATGTCATATAACTATCCAAATATAAAAGTGTAAAAAATTTTTAAAGAGAATCTTGTAATGCTTTAGGAGTATGAATGTATTTTAAAACATTATTAGCCATCTCTTAAAAAAAGATGATAGATTTAGTTAAATTGGAGGCATGACACTGAATTACTAGCACATGCTACTTTTTCAACATAGTACATTATTTTCTTTACATTCACTTGCTTAGTGTGAAGAGGATTTACTTAAACATGTAAGGGTTATACTATTTCACCTCAAAATAACCTAAAGTTTAGCACTTAGGGCATTAGTTTCCTTTAACATAGGTGTTAAAACTTTTAAACTCCATCTTATTTACAATAAATGTATTGATACCTCTGCAGTATGTATTTTGTTCAGTCACTAAGTCATGTCCTCTTCTTTGCAATCCCATGAAGGGCAGCTAGGCTTCCCTGTCCTTCTCTGTCTCCTGAGGTGAGTTCAAACTCATGTCCATGGAGTCAGTGACGCCATCCAACCATCTCGTCCTCTGTTGTCCCCTTCTCCTCCTGCCCTCAACCTTCCCCAGTATCAGGGTCTTTTCCAGTGAGTCAGCTCTTCACATCAGGTGGCCAAAGGATTGGAGCTTCAGCTTTAGCATCAGTCCTTCCAATGAATAGTCAGGGTTGATTTCTTTTAGGACTGACTTGTTTGATCTCTTTGCTATATTTATGCGTATTTATGGATATATTTAATAGGTGTTCCTTGCTATAAATAATCAGCAAAAATGTCAGGTTTTTTTCTTTTTGGCCAAATCATTTGCTTTAAGTCTGTTCTTTCTTTTAAGATACTTCCTTAACACTCTTCAAATAGAAGCTCACTTTGATCCAAGTGTCATTATAGAAAATGAGACTCTGAGAAAATTGGCTTCAAGTCCTTACCTGGCATCTCAAGATCAATGCGACTTTCTGGTCCCCGAAAGTTGGAATGATTCTTCTTTTCTGTGGTTGGTAGTTCAGGTGGCTGTTTTGAGGTGGCAGCTTTCTCAGACTTTTCAGGCAACTCGCTCCGGCCTGCCTCTGCGCCTGGCCCCGGGGTTCTAGGCTGTGCCGGAGTCGTGTGGGTCTCCATCTCTCGGCCAGCGCTCACTGAGGGTGAAAGAGCTACCGTCAGTTACGTTCCTCCCCTGACCTTTGCCTAAAACCACCACATTTGCAATAGATTCAAAACATATCATCTAAGATATTTCAGAGCCTTGTGACAAACTACTAGCTCTTGTTTCCAAATAAGTCATCAGTTCTCTTCCAAGAATGAGCTTTCTGAAATTTCTCATAAAGAAATAGACAAAGTTCCCTTCAACCTAAGGTTCTGGGATCAGTCATCCTTCCTCAAGTTCTTCATTCAAGTACTTCCAGCTCTTCAGTAAATGTTTCACAGCCCTTCTTCCTTTCTTGCGGTGTTTATGTACACATTGCTGGTTGTTCAGTTGCTAAATCACGTCTGACTTTACGTCCCCATGAGCTGCAGTATGCCAGGCTTCTCTGTCCTTCACTGTCACCCTGAGTTTGCTCAGATTCATAAGAATGATTTACAGCTCTGACCTAGCGACACCCTAATGTCATAACTTTTCTAAAAAAATCTATCAAAACAAAACATTAACTCATTTTAGTTTTCTTAAAAAGCGTATGCTAAACAAACTTTTTAGGATGAGAAAGACTCTTTTAGAAAATTGAAAACTATCTCTTAAAATGTTAAGTAATACCAAAATTTGACATTTGTAATTTGCATTAAAGATTTACAGTAAATGCCCATTGAATTTAAGGCAAAGCTTGTTCATGTGAAGTTATACTGAAACCAGGCAGAAAAAGAACACTGCTGAATGTGTATTTACTGTCAGAATACAGACATGCCTTTTACCCCCCAAATGTGATGCAGGTGACTCACGATTTTGACAGAAAGCTTCATCAGACCCGTCAGGACACTGCTCCACTCCGTCACAAGCCAGAGTGATGTCAATGCAACAGGCATCGTCACAAAAGAAGTGGTAGCGTGAGCAGACACTGGAGCATCCTGTTTGTAAACAAGTCTCAAGTCACAGGAGTGCAGAAAGGAAAGTGCTTCCACCGCGTCAGGATTAAGCGAGACTGTGTGAACGACAGATGGCTTTGGGTAAGGAGATGCAGGTAATGAGTGGACACTTAACAGGCTGTGTGGCAGCAGTAGGTTCTGGAAAGGTTAGGGGCTTTCTTCTTGACCTTCCTGACCGAACTCTCAGGAATCACCATGGGCTTTTCGTCTCAGGGTCCTTGTCCAAGCCAACAGTGCTGAAGAGGTGGGAGCAGAGAAGCAGCAGCTGTGGTCCTCCCCACCCAGCCCTGGGTGTCCTCCTTCAGGTGACTTACTCTGCACTCATGTGTTCACCCAGCACATCCTCAGCCGGCCCCTAACACTGGTTCATCCTCTGCACAGCACTTGGCTGGCTGACCCTACTTCATCAGAGACACTAGTGTTTTGGTTTTTTTTTAAGTGTACCATTTTTAAAGTCTTTATTGAATTTTTACAATATTGTTTCTGTTTTATGTTTTGGTGTTTTGCCCCGACGTATGTGGGATCTTAGCTACCCGACCAGGGATCAAACCTGTGCCCCCCGCATTGGAAGGTGAAGTCTCAGCCTGATGCCCCGACGTATGTGGGATCTTAGCTACCCGACCAGGGATCAAACCTGTGCCCCCTGCATTGGAAGGTGAAGTCTCAGCCTGAAATCTGAACCACCACGGAAGTCCCTATGGGTTTTTCTTTTTCTGGTCATTTTTAATGATTTAAAATTTTAAAATAAATTAATTTATTTATTCTTGGCTGTGCTGAGTCTTCCTTGCTGCTCAGGCTTTTCTCTAGTTTCAGGGCCTGGGCTTCTCACTGAGGGCTTCTTTGCTGCTGAGCATGGGCTCTAGGGCATCAGGGCTTCAGCAGTTGTGGCTCCCGGGCCCCAGAGCACAGGCTCAGACGTTGTGGTCCATGGGCTTATTTGCTCCATGGCATATGGGACCCTCCTGGATCAGGAGTCCAACCAGCATCTCCTGCCTTGGCAGGTGGATTCTTTACCACTGAGCCACCTGGGAAGCCCAGAGACACCGCTTTCTACATGCTGTGTGTCTTGCATTCATTTTTCCTAAATAATAATTTTTACTGAGATCAACTTTCTACTATTGAACTCTCTTTGCTGGCCATCATAGATCTGTGGTGCTGTAAAGAAAAAATAGAATCTTTAACTACTAGCTAGTGAGAATTTATTATCTACAAATAATGAAATTCCCTCCATTTTGGAGCAGTGGTGGTGGTTTAGTTGCTAAGTGGTGTCCAACTCTTATGATCCCATGAGCTGTAGCCTGCCAGGCTCCTTTGTCTGTGGGATTCTCCAGGCAAGAATGTTGAAGTGGGTTGCCATTTCCTTTTCCATTTTGGAGTGCTCAAGAGCTTTTAACCCTCAGAGCTACAAGTATTTTCTTGAAAGGCATTCCCTGTGCCCCCAGCTCCGGAGTAAGCCAACTAATAACCGCTGACACTGGTGATACAGACTAAAGGTATCAGGTTAAAGGAGTCACACGGAGTCTATATTCTCCAGGGACAGATGGACTAGATAACTATCTCAGAACATAGGCGAGCAACACATGATGATATTTCTGAGCATAGAATACACATCCAAGCGGGTCTTGGAAGCATTCTACTGGAAAGAAGTTCAGTTAAAATGCTGGGAAAATGGAGAAGGTAATGGCACCCCACTCCAATACTCTTGGCTGGAAAATCCCATGGACGGAGGAGCCTGGTAGGCTGCAGTCCATGGGGTCGTGAAGAGTCAGAGATGACTGAGAGACTTCACTTTCACATTTCATTTTCATGCATTGGAGAAGGAAATAGTAACCCGCTCCAGTGTTTTTGCCTGGAGAATCCCAGGGATTGGGGAGCCTGGTGGGCTGCCGTCTATGAAGTCACACAGAGTCGGACAGGACTGAAGCGACTTAGCAGCAGCAGCAGTGTGATTGCTGGGTAATACGATAGTTCTATTTTTAATTTTTAGCTCTTAACTAGTTGCATAGTACATAACCCTTCTTAACTATAATTTCCTCATTTGAAATTCCATTAAGTTCTAAGTCCTTTTCCTGAACTGTTTTTATGCTCTCTCAATATAAATTGTTACTAATTAGAAAATTAAAACATGTATTTTAACACTTAAAAAAAAAATGCTGGGAAAAGAGTCCATCTGGGTGGAAGGCAATTTGAGGATACCTAGATTCTGGAGGAAGAAGAAGTGAAGAAAATAAGGGTGGCAGGGACATTCCTCGTGGTCCAGCGGTTAAGAATCTGCCCACCGAGAAGGCGAGGGTGGGATATTTCAAGAGAACAGCATTGAAACATGTATATCTAGGGTGAAACAGATCACCAGCCCAGGTTGGATGCATGAGACAAGTGCTCGGGCCTGGTGCACTGGGAAGACCCAGAGGGTTCGGGTGGAGAGGGAGGTGGGAGGGGGGACCGGGATGGGGAATACATGTAAATCCATGGCTAATTCATTTCAATGTATGACAAAAACCACTGCAATGTTGTAAAGTAATTAGCCTCCAACTAATAAAAATAAATGGAAAAAAAAAAAAAAGAATCTGCCCACCAACGGGGGACGAGGGTTCGATCCCTGGCCTGGGAGGATCTCACTTGCCACGGAGCAGTTAAGCCGGTGCGCCTCAACTGCTGAGACTGTTCCCTACAGCCCCGGAGCCATGACCACTGAGCCTCTGGCTTAGAGCCTGTCCTTTGCAGCAAGCGAAGTCGCCGCAAAGAGAAGCCTGTGCCCCGCAGCTCGAGTAGCCCTCACTCCCTGCCATTGGAGAAAGCCCTCGTTCAGTAACAAAGACCCAGTGCAGCCTAAATACATGAACGTGTGTGCTGTCTCTGTCATGTCTGACTCTTTGCGACCCTTTGCCTGCCAGGCTCCTCTGTCCATGGGATTTCCCAGGAAAGAATATGGGGGTGGGTTGCCATCTCCTCCTCCGGGGTCATCTTCCCAACCCAGGGATTGAACCCGGGTCTCCTGTGTCTCCTGCCTTACAGGTGGATTCTTTACCCGCTGAGCCAATACAGAAGCCCTAATAAATAAATAAATAAATAAGCAAACACCTGTTAAGAAACAGTGGCAGAGAGAAGGGGAGTCAGCAGTTCTGGCTGAGCACCTGGGCCTAGAGAGGAGGATCTGCTTTGGTCACGGGGAAGGGGCTGGGAGGAAAAGTAAAGGGAAACTGCAGACAGCAAGTCAGGATGCAGCCTCTGCTCACATCTTTTAAATGCGTGACATGAAAATCCTAACCAACTCAAGGCTTTCCTGACTCCTTGGTCACTATGGAGACACATCCATACGAACAATTTATCCATGTATTTCTGGATCAGTGGTCTCCGGACTTTTTTGACCATGTATATCTCCCATCTATAAATCATATGTGTGTGCCACTGTAGTAACATATTTTAATACATGTTATAAGATAGACTGAAAATTTAAAGAGCATTAAAAATGAATACAAATATAAGTTCTGATATTTTCTTTTCCATTTAAAAAAATGTCTTGACTGTCTGTGGGGGATCCTGTATGGAGACCACACAACTGGGTTACTTTGGGAGTGTCTCTTGGCTTGCTCTCTGAGTAGATTATTGCTTGTTTGTTTTTTATTCATTTTGACTAGATCATTTTTTGCAAAGCTTGAAAACATGTGGCCTCTACATCCAAATCTGAATCAAGTTATCACAGAAATAAGGGTATATGCTTGTCTGTTTACTATAGAACTTGCCATCTTTGATTACCAGAATGCAAGCTAGCAGCAAGATCCGTATATGTAATCAAGGGGACAGAAGCCCTCTCAATCCCCATCTCTCAGCTTCAACATCTCCATGTGGTCTCCTATAGTTTCCCAGGTGACTTGGTGGTAAAGAATCCACCTGCCAATGCAAGAAACTCGGGTTTGATCCCTGGGTCGGGAAGATCCCCCGGAGAAGGGAATGGCAACCCACTCCTCTATTCTTGCCTGGAGAATCCCATGAACAGAGGGGCCTGGCGGGCTACAGTCCATGGGTTCGCAGAGTCAGACACGACCTAGTGATGAAACGGCAGCAGCAGCAGTATGTGGTGTCTTATTAACTTTAATTCAGTTTGCTATTCCAATCTAACCGGTGAGTGATTCCAGAAGGCAGTTAACACAACATAATTCTTTTTATTTTCTGTATAAAGTTACATACATAGGATCTCTCTCTCCCTCAAACTTGCTCAGTTGTATCAGACTCTTTGTGACCACCCTGGGCTGTAGCCTGCCTGGCTCTTCTGTCCATGGGGTTATCCTGGCAATAATACCAGAGTGGGTGGCCATTCCCTTCTCCAGGAGATCTTCCCGACCCAGGGATCAAACCCTGGTCCCCCACTTTTCAGTCAGATTCTTTTTTTTACCATCTGAGCCATCAGGGAAGCCCTACATAAGACCTATTACACCTGACTGGCCTTTCAGTAATAAGAGGTGAATCATATCACCCTCTGCAGCTTCAAACACACTTTCGTCATATTGAGAAAGGCCAGAAATGTACAACTGGCAACTTCGCTACTCTCTAGTTGCCTTGGGAGCCCAGAAGACTGGCCAGAGTGAATAAATCAAAGCAACAAGTAGCTGGTTGATGTCAGCCCTTTGCCTCCATCAGCTCAGGCCATGTCTCCCTTTGCTAATTTCTGTAGGGCTGACAGCTGCCCAGGAGCACTTTGGTCCCTGGCTAGGGAGCCCTGTTCCCAGGAGCACAGCCCTCCAAGCTCAGCACCTCCCCACTGGCTGTGACCTCAGCTGGACCGGTGCCATTGTTTTCTACTCCCACCTGCCCCAGTGCACAGTCAGCATTGCCAGGTTTGTTTTAAGTAACTGGCTCTTCTGTATAGCTGCAGTAAGTCCACAAATGGGGCCTTGCTCCAGTACGGACTGGGATGCTGCTGGCTCATTCCCCATCACCGACTCACGGTTGTCTACTGGACCGGAGTTTGGGGTACCATTTGCAGCCGCTCTTCCTTCCTCCAGGTCAAACTGAACCGTGGTTGAACAGGAGTGAGCCAACCTGATTTTTTTTTTTAAGATTTACTTGTTTGTTTTTGGCTGCACTAGGTCTCCAGGGCTGTGCTCAGTCTTAGTTTCAGAGAACGGGGGCTGCTCTCCAGCGGCGGTGTGAGGGCTCCTCATTGGGGGGGCTTCTCTTGTTGCCCAGCGTGGGCTCTAGGGCACACAGGCTTCAGTAGTTGTGGCATATGGGGCTTAGTTACTCTGAGGCATGTGCAACCTTCCCGGACCAGGGATCGAACCTGTGTACCTTGCATTGGCAGGTGGATTCTTAACTGCTAGACCCCAAGGAAAGCCAGCTGATCTCATTTTGAATTTTGCTTGTATCTGTACCTTGCTAGCACTGTTTCTTTGTGGAAGGCAAATTACCAAGGTGGCAGAGTTCTTAGAATTCTAAAGTCTCCTTCCTTCATTTCTAATATGTACAGGGACCCTGGTCTTTGATGGAAGAAAAGGTCAGCCAAAGTACAAGCAAATCCAATGATTTTATTCTTTCTCCTGACTGCTCGCTTGATTATGATCCAAATATGGAGGAATCAAGGGTATAGGAGACAGTCTACAAGTTTGCTAGAGCCAGGATTAGTGAAGGGTCACTAATCAGGGCCAGGGATCAGGTCAGTGGAACTCAGCACCCATGCTGGCTTCCTTGCACACAGTTACCATTCAGAGCAGATGCCGAGACAGTATCCCCGACCGAGCGACGGGACTCTAGACACACACACACGATCTCTGCAAAACCTCTTAGCTTTAGTGCTGCCAAGTTCCATGTACATTTTTTTTAACTTAATGAGCTTATCTTAGAACTGTAGATGTTTGGGACAGCAAGAAACAGATACATTGAGAGAAATGAGCTTACAATGAGCAGCAAGATGTGGGAACCATTGTGTATATGTCAAGCTATGTTATCAACATGTCTGTGCTTCTCTGTAAAGTGTCCATGAAAAGTTTTCAACAGTCCTTTGAAATTGACACATGCACTGTATATGTTTTAATTTGTTTTATTATTTTTTTAAATTTGTTTTAAATCTACCTCTTAGCTGCATTCTTTGAACATAGTATCAACCAGCCCACCCCCCTTTAAACAGGAGGGTGGTCCCCACCCTCTCCTGGGAAACCCAGATGTCTTTTATGAAACTGAGTCAAGGAAAGATGGGCATCTCTTAGGTCCTGTGACTCACACAGCCTATTGTCATCCCTGGAGTGTGAAGTGCTCCCCTGTTCCACTCTGGCAGTGTCGCTTAACATGAAATATAGTGGAGCCTAGTTTTGTAATCATATTTTTAGTTAAGATTTTCCCACTCAGCAACAGCCACAAATAAAATGGAAGGGCCCATTATATTGCCCAGTTAGAATATAAAATGGCAAACTTTTTTTATGTGGACCATTTTAAGTTTTTTACTGAATTTGTTACAATATTGCTTCTGGTGGTTTTTAAAAATAATTTTATTTATTTTTGACTGGGCTTGGTCTTCACTGCTGCTCGAGCTTTTTCTCTAGCTGCGGTGTGAGGGCTCCCCATTGCAGCGGCCTCCCTTGCTGTGGAACACGGACTCTGGGGCATGCAGGCTTCAGTAGTTGCTGCACATGTGCTTGGTAGATGTGGCTCCTGGCCACAACTTAGTTGCTCCACCGCATGTGGGAATCTTCCCAGACCAGGGATAGAACCCATGTCCCCTGCATTGGCAGATGGATTCTTTACCACTGACTGAGCCACCAGGGAAATCCTTGCTTCTGATCTGTGTTTTGGTGTTTTGCCCTCAAGCACTGTGGGCATCTTAGCTCCCCGGCCAGGGATGGAACCTGCAATCCCTGCCCTGGAAGATGAAGCCTCAACCACTGGACACCAGGGAAGCCCTAAAATGCCAGTTTAACACCACCCTTCCATCCACAGCCTGGCTTCTGCTGGCCACCGTGAACGCGCGGGAAGGGCTTTCTTCTCACCTCCTGTGGAGAAGGCCACGGGAAGCACGGTCACTGAGACGTTGTCGGAGCTCCTCTGCCCAGCAGTGTCCACCACTGTCAACTGAAGGGTGTATGTTCCTTCCCGCAGGTGGGACAGCTTCAGGGTTCCGGACTGAGGCACCTGATACCCAGACAGGAAACGTCACAGTTAAGAACCCGAAGCACAGAATCTGACGTCCTCCTGAGTTGGCAATCAGTGCCATCCTTGTAGCAGTCCTGTGACCCCCTTCTCCATTCCTGATCCTGGGTCTCAGAATACTTATCACACACAATTTTGGCAGGCTGGCCAGGAGACCTGAGTTCTGGTGGGTTTGGGGCCTGACACCCCCTTTCTTTGGGAAACTTCCCTCCCACCCCCACCCACGTGGTTGCAAGGGAAGGGTCATTATGACCCCTCCCTGTGGCCACAGGGCCGCGGCTAAGCCAAGGGGAGAGGGTGGCCAGGCAGGGGGTGAAGAGCGGATCTGCCCGGAGGAGGTGGCCGGGCAGACTCTCGCTCTCTCCGACTCTGGCTCAGAATCAGGCAGGCCGCGCCAGGCGGCAGCCACGCAGCAGGTGACTCCACTGTTTTTTGCTTCTTGGGACTTAGACAGGAACGCAGGGGAACTCGGGGGCGGGCGATGACCACACTGGAGCATGCTGACGGGAGTCCCGCAGCCTCGAGCAAGGTGTGTGAGAGAGAGGCTCTGCCCTCCGCCCCAGCTGGTCTGCCCGAGCGCAGACCTAAGGCTGCGGAAGGCCAGCAGCCCGGGGGTTTGCTGCCCCAAGTGCACCGGGCAGATGGGAGGAAGGAGTCAGTGCGCTTGTGACTGGGGGACGCCGAGTGAGGCCCAGATGAAGTTAGTGGAGATTTTAAGAGACCAGGGAAGCATTGAGGCTGGGCGCTGGGTGGGGCAACCACACAGACGTCAGCCTCACCCAAGCCCCGGTCAGATTTTTGTGAAGGCGAGTGAGGTACTGCACTTCTGGATGTCAACACGCAGCATGCCAGTGTCCAACTACACCTCAGCGGGCCGGGCCTTCTCGGGGAAGCCTCTTCCCAGCGCTGGGGCTGGAAGGACAGAGCACCCCCTCTAAGCGGCCAGTCCATCCACCTGGGCTCTGAAGCCTCCCTCTGGCCTTCCAAGGTACCTCCTCTCTGAGGCAGGAAAGACTGGATCCAGATCCAGACCTGGGTGCACTCTAATTTTGGTCTTTTCAAATGAAATATCCCTTTCCTGCTTTCTTTCTTTCTTGTGTGTGTGTGTGTGTGTGTGTGTGTGTGTGAGTTGACATTCTTTATTAAACACAGCTCTAGTTGTCCTTATTCACTTGGCAGGATTAATATGGTTTTTCAAAGTAATTTTATTTATATATTGGTTGTACTGGGTCTTCTTCTTGTCTTTTTGTACTGTTCGTGGGGTTCTCGCGGCCACCTGATGTGAAGAGCTGACTCCTTGGAAAAGACCCTGATGCTGGGAAAGATTGAAAGCAGGAGGAGAAGGGGACGACAGAGGGTGAGATGGTTGGGTGGCATCACTGACTTGATGGATATGAGTTTGAGCAAACTTTGAGAGATAGCAAATGACAGGGAAGCCGGCGCACTGCACTCCGTGAGGTCTCAAAGAGTAGGACACCACTTAATCACTAAACAACAACAACAACAACAACTGGGTCTTTGTTGCTGCTCACTTTTCTCTAGAGGTGGTGCTCGGGCTTCTCCCTGCGAAAGCTCTAAGGCGTGTGGGCTTCAGTGCTTGCAGCTCGAGGGCTCAAGGAGCTGCACATTGCTCCCCCGGGGCTCCAGAGCATAGGCTCAGGAGCCGTGGTGCATGGCGTGTGGGATCTCCCCAGACCAGGGCTCGAACTTGTGTCTACTGCATTGGCAGGTGGATTCTTCACTACTGGGCCACCTGGGAAGCCCCTCAATACGGTTTTTAACAACCCAAATTTCCCTCTGGCCCTTATGGGGCCAGAGCACTCTAGTAAATATAGCCGAGGTATGTAGAAGTTTGTCTCAAAAACTTTTTCAGATAAATAGAGTTTGAAAAATCTGCTTAGAGGGGAAGGATAGGTCTGTCAGATTTTGCACTTTAGCTATCCACAGGCGTGATGACGATCGACTATCTCCATGGGAAAGCTCTGAGAGCCGCTGGGTTTGGACACCAACAGAAAAGGGAAATGCTGACAACTGTGAACAGAGAGTCCATCTTGCCTGAAGGGCCTCCCAAGAAGGCTTTGCAATTGGCACCAGTCCACACCTGCAGGCCTTTCCTCTGTGAGCAGAAACTAAGTATAGTTTCTGCTAAGTATATATAACTTAATACCAAGGACTTTGTGTGAGATTTATTTTGATAACTGCAAAAGTCAACAAGCTCGTGTTAGTCTCCTGTGAAAATCCTTCTACGAAAGGCTTCTTGCCCCTTCTTGTGCAGCAATTTGTTTAAAGAGTTTGCTGTTTCACCTGGTCTCCCAGACCCAGAGAGAAAAGGAAGCAAACACTTTGACTTTTGGATTTCCTCATTTCATGTTGTTTTTTTCCCTCTGTGGTTTTACTTCCTGGATACAGAAAATTCTTTCAGGTTTTTAAGCCATAAAAAGCAAAAACACTAACTTGATTTGATTATTTTTTTAAGCTTTTTTTTTTTTTTTCTTTTTTGGCATTAGTGATCTTAGTTCCCTAACCAGGGATTGAATGCCCTGCATTGGGAGAGCAGAGTTTTAATCATTGGACTACCAAGAAAGTCCCTGATTTAATTTTTTAATCTCTTTTGTGATATAGCTTGACATGTGCTTTTTCTTTTTAATTGAGGTAGAGTTGACTTACAATATTAGATAAATTTAAGGTGTATAACATAGTGAGTTAATAACAACTCCATTCACAGTTACTATAAAATATTGGTTCTATTCTCTGCCCTGTATAATACATCTTTGTAGCATATTTATTTTATACAAAGTAATCTGTATTTTTAACTCCCTGGCCCTTTTTAGTTTATTTAGCTAACTAACAAAGGCTATCTTTCCTCAACATCAATATAAGAATATATAGAACTGTAAGACAGATGATTTCCCTCCAAGCATCCAGGTGTTTCTAGATGTCTACTCACGTTTATGACATTGGGAAGGATTTACCACACACAGACATACACACAGATTATATGCAACATATCCTATTTTTGTTTGTTTTTTTTTGGCCAAGCCCCAGGGCATCTGGGATTCCCAAACCAGGAATCCAACCACACCTGATGCATTGGAAGCTCTGAGTCTTAGCCACTGGGAAGTGCCACAACACACCCAATTTGTAACTTGAAAAATACATTACCTTTAATAAAACAAAGAACTTCTAATCTCTGCCCAGGATCTGTTCTGTAGTAACAGAGGCTTTGATGGTTGGCCTCTGGCTAAATCAATGTATAACTCAGTCTGTTGTTCTGGCTCCACTGCACCTCCCTAAAATAGTAATTTAGTGGCAAGGAACATACATTTGCATTTGTTTGTATACCGCACATATATACATACGTGATTATCAGTACAACACTTGGTTACAAAATGAGTACTACCTCTCTATTCCCCTCACCCCCACAGTTGCTTCTAAAGTATATAAGGCATTGGGCATATTGTCATAAGCAGTGACAAGATAACATCACACAAAATATTTCAGTAAGAAATTCTATTGAACCAATGAACCCAAAGGCATGCTAGCTTTCTGCCTCGTGTCAACTTACAAAACCGAGAACTCTGTTAGTGGTTTGAAGGCCACCATTAAGATCCTTGTTGTAATCCAATGCCATCTCCCAGCACACACAGGCTGAAGGAGACACAGGGACAGCTAAACTGACCAACAGAGGCCAGAACATATACTGCTATTATTAATACAGTTGTCTAGATATTTCAGGTGAACATGCTTAGGTTCTGTTCTTTAGTTACGTGTTCCTCTTTCTATTTACTTTTCATCACAGATATGACCCAAAATTTCATAAAAGAAGCAAAATGAATTCAACTGTCTGTATTTTCCTAGTCAAAAAGAGTAGTGAAAGTGTTAGTTGCTCGGTCATGTCCGACTCTTTGCCTCTATCTCAGCCCAATCAGAGAAGAATCATCTTCTTACAAACTTAAGGCTAGGGGTGCGAAGAAGCAATATATAAAATCCAAGGGGTTGAGCAAAGTTAGCTGCTGACAGTGTGTAGAAACACATGCAGACATAGCAATAGAGGAAATGGGGATGTCTCTGGTGGTCCAGTGGTTAAGAATCTGCCTGTCAATGCAGGGTACACAGGTTCCATCCCTGGTCCGGGAAGATTCCACTTGTCATGGGGCAACTGAGCCCTCATGCCATGACTACGGCAGCCCATGAGCCCTAGAGCCCGTGCTCTAAGATGGGAGAAGCCGCTGCAGTGAGAAGCCTGGGCACCACAACGAAGAGCAGCCTTCACTTGCCACAACTGCAGAAAGCCCTTGTGCAGCCATGAAGACCCAGTGTAGCCCAAAATAAAGGGTCTGCCTGCCAATGCAGGAGATGCAGGCAATGTGGGCTTGATCCCTGGATTGGGAAGATCCCCTGCAGGAGGTATAGGCAACCCACTCCAGTATTCTGGGGCTTCCCTGGGGGCTCAGATGGTAAAGAATTTGCCTGCAATGTGGGAGACCTGGGTTCGATCCCTGGGTTGGGAAGATCCCCTGGAGGAGGGCATGGCCACCCACTCCAGTATTCTTGCCTGGAGAATCCTCATGGACAGAGAAGCCTGGTGGGCTACAGTCCATGGGGGTCACAAAGAGTGGGACATGACTGAGCGACTGAGCCCAGCATAACACAGCATATGATTCCAAAGTCCATGCTCGGAGTCACTGTAGACTCCGATCTCCCAGTTAGCAGAGCTTTAAGCCTTCTGGGTTCTTATTCCAGGATAATTTTCTTAGAAAGACCTGAACCACAGCTCATGCACAAAGCAGCTACCTGTTGTGGCCTGAAAAAGTCACATACTCCTTACACACACACACACACACACACACACACACAGTCCTTTAAAACCTCTGAAAGCTCTCACCCACCCCCATCCTCACCCCACTACCCACCCCAAAATAGAAGTGCCAGGACCTTTGAAGGGAGAGTGACAGGAAGTCGGGTTTAAATGCAAGAGGACC